GATTTGAAAATCACGCTGGGTGCATATGTGTGTGTGCCCAAGATCCTGGGAGGAGAGTGGAGGACATGGGATTGTGTGTGGCCATTCCCCCTTGGGGGGGATTTCTTACTTTCCCTCTCACTGTGTCTGTTTATCTCTCTTTCCCCAGTAAGTATACACTCCCTAAGGCAAAAATCTCTAAAAAAAAAAAAAAAAAGTATGACTTGGGGCCAGAAGGTGGCACAATAGTTAAGGTGCTGAATTCCAATATGGCTGATCATGATTCAAGTCCCGGACCAGCTGCTTGAAAAATCACACCGGGCATGTCTGAGTGCATGCTCAAAATCCCAAGAGGAGAATGGAGAATGGAAATTGCGGTGTTGACAACACCTTTGGGAGGTGATTTCTTACTTTCTCTCTCTCTCTTTCTCTCTCTCCTCTCTCTCCCTGGTGAACACACACTCTGTATGACAAAAACCTAAAAAAAAGAAAAAAAAAGGAGGATATTTTTATTTAAAAAAGAGTGCAAGTTAAAACAACAATGAAATATAATTTTTACCTATCACATTGTCAAATATTGAAAAGCTTAATAATACTCAATATTTTGACCAGGTTGAGGAAAAAGGCACATCTTATTGTTGGAAGTATAAATTGGTAGAATTTTAAAATGGTAATTTGGCAACATCCATCCAAAGACCTATACGTTTATCATTTGACTCATTCATTCACTTCTAGGTATCTGTTCCAAGATGTGTAAGTGGGCTGAAGATGTGTATGCACAAGAATATTCACTGAACCGATGTTTATAACAATGCCACTCAGTACCAATCAGCTACAGCCACAAGAACCCTGGGACTTTCACCGACATTTCTTTTCATAGGAAGACTTTCTTGATGAAGAAAACAGTACATTGCTCTACATTCTGTTGCAAGCTCCTTACCTGGGTGTGAAATAGCACTTGGAGTAGCACCAGTTTATAATAACTAAAAAGTTGGCCCAACCCAAGTGGCTATCAATGGGATACTTGCTAAATAAATGATGAGACCCCAATATAAAACCCTGTGGACTCATTTACAAATGAAATATACATATGCTGATATATAAATATATATATACACACACGTACACACATGGTGGAATGGAAAATGTTGCAGAGCAGTATGAATATAGTAATAAATGCAAGATGAAAAAGTATGAGTTGTATAGGCATTGTGTTTCTTTTCATTTTAAGGTTTTTGTTCTAGGGCATGTGTATTCACTGTAGAAGGACAGTGAGAAGGAAAGTGAGAAACCATCCCCCCAAGGGGCATGGCCATGCAGCAAGCCCTTCTCCTACATTCTCCTTTTGGGATCTTGGGCACCCACGCACACCTGCTTGTTGATTTTCAAGCCACCCTATCTGTGACTCCAACTGCAGTTGGTCATGTGGGAATCCAGCACCTTAACCACTATGTCACCTGCTGGCCCTTGCAATGAGTTTCTAGAAGCATACAAAAGACATTGCTGATTATAGTTATCTTTAGGATGTGGGATTGAGACTGTAGAGAGAGAGGGTATGGGATGCTTTATCTTGTACATTTTTAATACTGCTTAAATTTTTCTACAACTATCATAAGTTACATTCTTAGTTTTTTTTTTTTTAAACTAACATTTAAAACTTTGTTTAAAGTTTTAAAATTCAAGACCAGTCAGCTTAGATGCATTGCATGTGAAATTTTAGAAACTGGCTTTGAGCTAAATTTGTTTTAGCTCAAAGACTTACAAAGGCAATCTTTACATGGGATAAATTCCCATGAGGTCATTAGTGTATAGATGTAAGAACACGTCAACTTGTTTATCCAAGCACAGAAATCTGTTTTATGTTCAAAAAAAAAAAATTGGGGTGAGGGAGCAGTCATAGTGGTACAGTGGTAATGAAATACTCTGTGATGTTGAAGTCTTACTGAAAGGTACCAGATTCCTGCCCTAAAGTCTCCCTCTATGTGCTGGGTGTGCCCAAGTTTCCATGATCCTGGGTAACTAAAGTTAGGGGTGGATTGTGGCATGAAGACCCTGCTGGATGGGTGCTTATCTCTCTCTCTCTCTTTGAGAAAATAACTATTATATTTTACTCTTGTTGTTTATTCATCAGATTGTTTTTCTGATTATGTTTGATCCATGGTTGGTCAAATCCCCACATAGAAGACTGACTATATAGGGTTTATGCACAAGAAAAGAGAAATATAAATGGAACATGGGGCATGGTTAGTTTAATGGAGAACTTTCAGGAGAGAATTAAATACATAAATGTAAAAAACAAAATTTATTATGGCCAATGAACTCAAATCCAATTTCTAGTCCATCTCTAATGTGGGTCTCAAAGCTAGACAGTGTGCAGTCAGAATTCCGCTCTGGGCAGTGTGATCATCGGTCATCTGAATCTGATCATAACTGCTACAAAATTCTGGACCAAGACATTCTCTGTGCTTAGAAGGGTCCCAAAATGGTGGAGGATAACATGATTTGACAAAATCTAGACATCTTACATGCTTCATGGAAACCACAATTTATACTGCCAAAAAAGGGGGTGAGTGGATATTAGGCCATGAAGGGTTTTGTGAACACACTCATAATTATTTCCCTTTGTACTGCGCCATGCAGATAGCAAAGCACTTTCATATCATCTGTCTCTGTGACTCCTCACAACAGATCTTTGAAGTAAGGAAGTTTCACAGAAGTAATTTCTTTCTTTCCTTTTTTTTTTTTAAAGAGAGTTTTTTTTTTTTTTTTGGCGCATGTGCTCACCAGAGAGACCGAAAGCGAGGAATCACCCCCCAGACAGGATGGCCATGCCACAATCCCTTCTCTTTGTCTCCTCTCGGGATTTTGGGTCCACATGCACAAGCACCCAGCGTGAGTTTTAAGCTACTGGGTCTGTGACTCGAATCGCAGTCGACTATGTGGGAGTCCAATGACACAACCGTTACACCATCTGCTGGTTCCCCCAGATGTAATTTTATAGATACAAACACTGTGTAGAAGGCACATGTGCGTGCACGTGTCCTCTCCAACACTGCTAAGGAGCAAAGCAGTAGAGCCAGCTCAAGTCCTCACCACCATTCCACCCTGCCTTCTGACCATGCCCGGCCAATGGCACCCCGACTGGGGTCTGGCCAGTTTGTTCTTACTCCGAGTTCATTTGCATGACGCTGTGCCATTGACCAGAGGGGTTTAAAAGCAGACCACGGCTGCTGCCACTGTGTGTGAAGCATTGCTACTTGGAGCTCACAGAGAATACAGACAGTAGCTTGGGTTCTTCTTGGCCATCTTGAATACTATCAAGCAGGACAGAGGAAGAAGCAATTCTCATTTATCCAAATGAAGAAAGCTATCGCACAGGCTGTTTCTTACTGGTATGTCTGTTCTTCCTCTTCTTTGCTCTTTTATATTATTTTCTAGGATGTACAAAGTGACAATCATAAAATAAACTTCCTTGAGGGTTGTTCTAACTCTGTACTTGAGGGTTGTACTAACTCCTACCATTTCACTGTCAGACATGTTTCTCTTCCCAGAGCTCTCCATTACACTAACCATGTCCCATATTCCATTTATATTTCTACTTTCTCGTGCATACACCCTATGTCAGCCCTCTGTATCTGGAGATTAGACCAATCATAGGTCAAAAATATTCAGAAAAAAAAAAACCCTGATAAATAAACAACAATAACAAAAATACAAATTAAAAAAATAGAGTATAACAACTGTTTACATAGCATTTACATTGTAGTAGGTATTATAGTAATCTAGAGATCATTTAAAATATATAGGAGGATGGGAACCAGCAGTTGGCGTAATGGCTATGTCGCTGGACTCCCACGTAGTCGACCGTGGTTCGCATCCCGGACCCGGTGGCTTAAAAAACTCACGCCAGGCGCGTGTGCGTGTGTGCCCAAGATCCCGAGAGGAGAATGGAGGAGAAGGGATTGCGGC